TGGAGGGAGGGGGTGGGTCGGGTGAGGGTGGGATAAAAAAATTAAAGTTGAAAAATATTTTTTTAAAATAAGCTTTAAATTTACTTTTTCATCAAATTTTTTTTTTTTATTTTTTCAACAAAAAAGTTGTAATTTGAAATTGGTGGAAAGTTTTGGAAAATGTTTTCCTTGATTTTTTATGGGAAGTCATTTTCCTTGAATTTGAGGAAAATGAGTTGATTTGGAAAACATTTTCCAAAACATTTAACTCAACCAAACATGAGAAAATTGAAAAACATTTTCCGGAAAATGTTTTCCTTCATACCAAACACACCCTTAATCTTTAAGATTTCTAGTATGTTACAGTTGAAAAGAAAAGTGTTTAAGAATCTTTGTAGTTATGGGTTCATATTTACTAGTTATTGCAATTTTTATGAATTTTATATATAAATTTATATTTTGCATCAAAATAATTGATTCAGATGAATCTGATACCAGTACTCTGTATCTGCCTATCTTTATCATAAAGAATTTTATGTAGTTATCTTATAAGTGACCTTTTGACACTGTCAATGCATAAAAACCAATTTCTTTTGAGATTAATTAATGTTGGGAAAGGCTTATCTATATCATTCGTTTAAAGTTTGGCTCATCTATGTAATTTCCGTTTGAGAAAAGGCCTATCCATGCCATTATTTGTTAACTTAATAAAGTTCAGATTTTGCAAAACCATTTTTCACACATGGTTAATTATGATTCGGCCATGTCATTGTTAAATCATTTTTAAAAAGGAAAAGACTCAAATATGCTATCAAACTTTGAGACAAGACTCATCTATGTCTTCCAGTTAAAAGTTTGGCTCATCTATGTTATTTCTAGTTAACAAATAATGGCATGGATGCACCTTTTCTTAAATGGAAATGGCATAGATGAGCCAAACTTTTAACCGATGGCATAGATGAGCCTTTTTTTCAAAATTTGATGGCATATTTAAGCATTTTCCTATTGATGTTTTGATGCAAGCATTTCCTGTGATGCAATTTATATGATTGTTGTTGATTAATTTTACTTAAGGTTGTTGATTAAT